TAGGCACAAGATCAGTTGCCCACGAACGTCGTAGTCCCAACATACAAAAAATTACGGCCACCAAAACAGTTAACTGAAATCATAAACGTCACGTACCGCTGCACAATAAAACAAGACCACAGTAGTTGCATAGCTCCCCCCGTGCTTAATCCACAGTTCCTTGCCTGCCTGCCAGTTAGAAATCTGAACAGCAACCAAATATACCATGGCGCACACAAACATAACAACCATCTCAAACATTATCAAGGCAATGGTCAAGTCATGAACACACAATGAGCCACAAGTTAGCCAAGCAACGGATTGACCTACTAAGGAAGGTTGTCTGTACAGCAGCTTAACATGGTGAAAAGCATGTTCCTGGCTAGGTTCTGTTCCTTTTTGTGCATCGTGGAGAAATATATATGGTTATTAATATGGAAAATGTATATCTTGGTATCCTGGTATGTTCCCTTCCGGATTATGTGTTGGGGGACATTGTACTAACCTCGTGCAGTTGTGGGGATGGTACAAACTGTTTTTGGGCGTTTAAATTAAAGGATCGCCAGGATGATTCTGCAGATGATTTTTCCTAATGATAATTTAGACGGTTGAACAGTATTAGAAAACTAAGGATCCACACTAATATGGAAACTTCAATATAACTTTAATCAATCAACTGTTTCTTTCTTATTATAACAAGAAAAATGAATTCACATATTATTTCTATTTCAGAAAGTGTTGAAATAAAACTAGCTTTGAGTGTTGTTTTCTGTTTAACTTAGTATTGGACAAGTGTTCATTTTGCTTCGTTGTACTGGTTTGATAAGCCAGAGTCTATGTTGCTGCTACATGTCCTTGAACGTATAAGCATTGTATGCTTATCTTAATCTTATGTTAAACACTTGGTAGTTTTGTACAAGTGTTAACCATGTATTTCATGTATATATTCATGTATCACTCTTCAGTTAATGCTATGATCGATATTAACCAAGTCCCTCTGTTTTATTATGTTTGTTTTTCTTCTCTGCGTGCTTGATACTTCTGTTTTGATTTAACCATAACAGAAAGCCATAGACAATCATGAAGCATTCTTAAACTTCCATAGGGGAAAGAGAACAACGAACTCAGTTGTTACAAAACCAACATAAGCTAATCTGATCCCTTATTGAACGAGACACGACAACCATGGTGATTTATAGGAGCTAGCAAAGCCAAAGCACTTCTGCATTTCCTTTTCTTGGATTAACTAATTTTATCAGAGTTTGCCAGGTAAGTTGGAATGGCTGATGTTTTGAACCCATTGAAATCATTCCCACGAGAAGAGGTATAAGCGCCCATGTTGTGGAAGACCAACCAATCATTAACTTGTAGATCTGGAAGCGGGTAAACCTCCAAAACGGTATCAGCCGGATCACATGTTGGTCCAAAAACTGTGGAATCGGATGTCTCAAGCCCTTTGCATGTTATGACGTCGTTGTTGCCAAAGTTGGCAAGAGGAGTGCAAATCACATCGTCATGGTCATACTTCAAATAGTTCATAGACCCCGACATCCCATCGTTAATCCAATACTCTTTAATCTCATTCCTAATTCGCTTCCCTAGAATGCTTGTTGCTAATGTGAAAGGCTCGTTAGCAAAGAAACGACCAGGTTCTGCCATAAGTTTTAAGCCAGTAGTAGGCCCGGTAGGAAAATACTTTTTCAGAGCAACTTTCACAGCTGAGGCTGCTTCAGTAAACTTTGGACCGGATGTGAAACCTCCACCAATGTTTAGAATATGCATTTTAGGAAGGCCAAGTTGAGCTGCTGTTTCAAATGTTGTTTTAGCTGCTAATATTGCTTCTTCGAATGCATGGTAGTTAATGGCTCTACTACCAATGTGGAATGAGACACCAACAACTTTGAGCTCTGCAGCTTGAGCAGCTTGGAGAAGGGGAACGATTTCCTCAGGGAGTGCACCGAATTTGGAACCGAACAGAAATGCTGCACCACTGGTTTCCGGAACTTTGATTCGCATCAACAGGGCACATTTTGGATGCCATTTCTTTATCTTTTCAAGTTCACATACTGAATCAAAAGTAGTCAAGTTAACACCAACTTTAGCGGCATACTTGACGTGAGACTCAGGTTTGCATGTGTTTGCGAAAACGATTCGATCAGGTGAAACCCCTAGAGACAAAATGGTTTGAATCTCAGCACGGCTTGCACAATCAAAGCCGGTGCCCAGAGCTGCCATTTCTTTGAGGAAAGCAGGGTCGGGGTTGCACTTGACTGCATAGAATGGTTGAACCATGGGAAGGTTAAAGGTCCATGTGTCCAAGAGGGACCTAACAACACCCAAATCCAGCACGTAAAATGGCCCCATTTCTTCTTGTTGTTCATTCAAAATGACCGATTGAATGAAAGCAATCAACTCATCTTTTGATGGGGAAGTTGCTGCAACCCTCTTTTCTGTCACTATTGCTGGTCCAACCATTGTTTGGAGACTATTGGGACTTGATAATAATGAATGATCCCAGGATAGAAAAAGAAGAGGAGAAATTATACAAAAAGAGTGCGAGTTTCCCAAATGTTTAGGAAGGTCTATTTATAGAGGTAGATGGTATTAATTTTTCTTAGATGAAAATGCACATGAAACACATTGTCATGTATAATGCTATTGTCATAGACTTCTGGTCTTCTGTTCCTTCATCGTATACAGTATTCTTTTTTAGGTTTAGAGCAAATTACACCTACCATTCTTGAAATTTGATGTGTATATCTTCTTGCATGGTATTGACCAATATATTTATATACTCCTAACATCTCCGCACTTTCTTTGCTTTTTGCTCCTATGGACAATATGCGTTGTATCCTCTTAAAGCAAGTGCTTCATCCTCTCTTCATTACTTTCATCTAATCTTCAACTATCCTAACTAACCATCTTGTCTAGCTGCAAAAATTAAAGCAATGAGTTGTACATTATTGTGTTTGGTAAGAGGGAAAGAGGAAGGAAAAATAATTTTTCTTTTCCCATCATCAGTTCATGGTATGGTAAGAGGAAAACAAGAGGAGAGAAGGGAATTGAATGGATTTGTACATTTCTCTGCTCTTTAAATCATTTATTGCTCTTCTTTCTTTCTTTCTTTTCTTTCTCTTTTACCAAACAAGAGGAGAGAAGGCCAGGTGCCTCATGTGCGTGCACCTAATTCTAGTAAAGTCTCCCACTAGTCTCAATACCACCATTGGAATTTGACTAGGCAAATCTCCCACACTACAATCACAATTTACTTGTGATTATTTTTGGGTACTGCATCATAAAGTTAACATGAGTGAGTCAAGTAAACGAGGAAAATAATGATAATAATAATAATAATAGTGGCAATAAGATATTGGTTTATACCATTTTTAAATTGAACAGTTGATGAGCACGTGAGGCATATGCATATCTCGACCACCGACCCAGAAAAGGAAACATGATTGTACCAATACTATTATTGTCCGGTAGAATTTAGCAAATCTCCTATTTTGGCTACTAAGCATGATTAATTTAAGTCAAGTTAGAAAGAAACAAATATTAATTATCTTCATCTTAATATGATTATTTTATAGACATTATTTTCACCTTAAACGTGAAATTCTGACTCCATTACTGATTTAAATTATCAGATAGTATAATTAAAATTGCACTAACCATATAGTTAGCAAATTATGGTTAATTAAAATAATATTTCAAAAAAATTATTTTTCTCATTTAATACATTAAAATTGCACTAATCATATGGTTGTTTTTTATATAATTAGAGAAAGGGATTGAAACTTGTTTTTTTAAACAAGAAAATTGTACACTAATCAATAACTCAAAAGTAAGTGTAAATACTAATCATATAGTTGTGAGATCACTTTACAAATATGAAAGTAGAAATAACGATATGAGTCCATATAAATATATATGTGTCCAAATGCATTGTGCATTATGAACTGGAAACGACAAAAGGTACAAACTTTTTCTGCACAAATTGAAGTTTGCTTCACTTTTTTAGGCTGGCAATGTATCCTTGGGTTGTTGCCAAATTAATCAAATCAAAGTATCAGCCACACATTGCAAACAACCCAAATGGCAGCAAAAAGCAAAATGAAAAAGGCCAAAAAATACATCTTTAAAGTACAACTAACAGTAACAATACAATTAAAAATAAATTTTTATTTAATTTTTTTTTAAAATATGAACTTATCCAAACGAGAGAAGAGAGGAAAACAAGCTCGACAGCGTAACGGGGCACGCGATCGGAGGTGCAGGGGAAGAGAAGAGAATGGCTACTTTATTGACAGAAGGTTTTGTCGGTAACTTGCTCGACATATCACTTCATCGATGGACCATTTCGTCACTAAAATTGATGTTATTTTCATTTTTATTGACTAATTTCGAACTAATTATATTTTATCCGTAAATTTCGTCATTAATGTGATGTGAAACAATTAATCGGCTGGCAGTCAACATTATGTTGATACTTACTTGATGAGGTAGCCAAATGCAGTAGTTTATGGAGCCAAACCCCATCAGGAAGAACTCAATCGGAACTAGCATGACCATGCGGTGCTCTTCTGTGAGCTAGATCCATGCTTGAACCTGATAAAAGTACAGAAAGCATGCCTAATAACAGCATTAGGTTTTTTAAATTAAATAAATTTTAATGTTTAATAATTAATTAATTATTATTAATAAAAAACATATCATTAATGTGTATGATGAAAATGTTACGCAACATATTATCATATCACATTATTCCACTTTCCAATAATTCGGATTTAAATAAATGAAAAAAACCCAAGTCTAATAAGTCAAAATTCTTTCTTCCATTCCGAATCGAAAGGTTCATCTAATTCCGGGCCGGACATGTGGAATGGGCTGGCCCATTATTGAAGAGGGTTTTTCAAAGGTTTATAAAAACAAATAAATGAAGAAATTTTGCTTTTGTTTTCCCGCCTTCCCGCCTTCTCAATCAAATATATTTTATTACTTTTTTTTGTTTGGTCCGGGAAGACTTTCATATGTTTTCGACCAAATACAAAGAAAAAGAAAGGGAGCGTTTGGCTGTCTTTCTCTAGAGAGCTCTAAGCTTCAAGAGTTCAAAGAGAGAAAAAAGAAATGGAGATGTCGAGGCTTTGGTGAAAAATGGATTCACCAGATAAAACCCAGATCACTCCAACTCCTTCTCTTTCAAAATTTGAGGTCTTGTTTTTCCTGCACAACTCTTAGCTTTTACTTTTTAAAATGAAGTTTTATGAATTTGGGTTTTCGTTAGTTTTGTTTGTTTACTCAGAAATCATGTTAATTGTATGAAATGTTTTTTTTTTTGTTGGGTTTCGGTCATTTGGGGTTTAGAATTAAGATTTAGGTTCTAATCATTATATAATAAGTGGGTTTTTGCTTTTGAAGGTTATTTTGTTTTATTTTAGTTTAAACTTGTTGCCTGTTTTCATTTTTTGGTTAATTTGGATACTTAAGTATTAATTCTTGATGGGTTTTTGCCTTCCTCTTGTTAATTCTCCTTACTTTTGAGTGGATTACTGCTATAATTTAGGGTAGTAGCAGAATTGACAAAAGAAAGTAAGTGAAAACCTAATGAAGGGAAATTGGAAAGTTTCATTAATTTAAGTAAGTCAAGCTGCTAAATATTGAGATTCTCTACCATTCTACAATTATTCAATCTCAACCATCATGTAACTTATGCCAGGTCATTGGGATTCTATACTTAGGGATGGTGGATGTTTTGTAATTTTGTACAAATAATTATTTGGTGATATGAACTTGAAAATGTTGGCGACTTTTGTCTCATGATAGGACAAGGATACCTTTTTCCTTGTTTGGTTTAGATTGCTTTTTATTTTGCTTGGTTGTTTGATTGTTTGTTTTCTCGTGCTACTTGATCATTTGGTAATCAGGTTATCTAGAACTTATGGGCAGACAATTATATGTTGTTTTCTTTCTTTGCAGGATTCACCTGTCTTTAAGTACATCAACAGTCTTTCACCTATTGAGCTAGCCAAGTTCAGGCAGACAGATAATGCTTTCAATTCACTAGCTTTTTTGTCCCCTTCATCTTTATTTCCTTCCCCGCAGATCAGTTGCCACAGGGAATCCAGGTTTTCGGTTAAGAGGTAAAACTAAAATGTTTCTTTATTGCTCTATTTAGTTCATTAATTTAAATATTTCTACATGATGTTTTTGTTCTTCTTTCCTCAGGCATCATTTCTCAGCAGCTTCAAACTCTAGTGTCCTGCAGAGTAGTAATGACTTAAATTCTAATGAAGGAGCTTCAAAAGCCATTGAGCAATCTGACTTCTATGATGAACAACCGGGATGTCTCAATAGTGGCAGTTCATTCAAAGGAGTAAGTAGTGATCGACTTGATGAGCAATCAGATTTAGCAATTGAGCTGCCAAGAACCTTGAAATATGATTGTGGGAGCCCTGATGGTAACTTGGAGCCTTGTGATGAGATACTGAAAAATACAAGCGAGAAAGTCACAAGACAAGAAGGATCTCCTTTCCAACACAATAAGGATGAAGGAGAAGAGAGACAACAGTCATTTGAAAATGAAAGAGATTTGCGTAAAATACGTCGAATTATGTGGAGTGAAGAATCAACAGGGTGTGACTGGGTGGCAATTGTTTCTGATGTTGCTGATTTGTTGACCATGAATTCATCCATCATTAATGAGAATACTGAGGGTCAGGATCGGAGAGCAGCAGACCCTGGGACAACCTCTTTTATATCAACTATCCTGCAGTTCCCACTAGATAATTCCAATAATTTAGAAAGTACAGAAACTGGTGATCCTAATGGTTCCTGCAAACAAAGTGAATTCAGAGAGCCAGTAACAGATCAGACACCTGCCATCCTGTCTACTTGTCTACTGGACAAGCTAGTAGTCAGTGATTCAGGTTTGAACAAGGATGATGAGGGGGAGAAGTGCAACCTGTACAGCCATCAGGTCAACTTAAAGAACTATACTTGTGTTAAAGGCTTTTTTGATGCAGAGTGAATATCTCTAATAGGATAATATTTTGCATAAAATTATATATTATTGATTTCTTTTGAGGAGTTGAAAAGATAATAGCATAATTGAGTGAAGCATTGTTGCAAAATGTTTACCTTAAATCTCATAATTCTATGTTTGTCAAGAATATTTTCTATAAGAGCGTTGTTTCTGAAATATTTAAATATTTGTCTTGGTCAGTGCGTCAACACTTTTCTATAACTATGCTCTACATTATTCTCTCAGCAGCGTAGCATACGACGGCGCTGTCTAGTATTTGAGAAGTCACCTGGTTTTGGTTTGCACTTGAATTCTCTTGCAAACACCTCAAAAGGTGATGTTTCTTAAGCAGGAGATCTAGTTTCTTATAAGCAATTGATATGTATGTTGGGCTCCTTGACATTTTCTAGTTTCCTGACTGCAGATCAGAATCCTCTTAGTAAATTAACACCAAGCTCTATGAAGAGGGGTGAGGTTCCCCAATGCAACAAAGCTGTGGTTAAAGAGAATTCTCCGGAGACACCTGCTACTGTTGGTGGCAATGAGACTGACCTTAATAGTCCTGAAAAGAAGAGGCATGAATAAGATTAGTATTTTTTAAGATTTGAATTCAAACAGCTTGATATACTAATCGATTTGAGTATAATACTGTGCAGGACAAAGTTTGAACATGTGGAGGAGAATGCAGCATGCAAGCGCTGCAACTGTAAGAGGTCAAAATGCTTGAAGCTGTAAGTCTGCCTTAGTTATTCAAACCTATACTTAAGGTCAATGTGCATATTATTCATTTGTTCTACCAAGTCTATTTAGGGTTAATTCCTCCATTTGTGGATACTCAAGACCACTGGCCCTCTAATTACTCAGAATTAAAACTCATGGTGAGCCAACAGTTTTGTATCATCACTTCCAACATCTAAAAGTATAAGATACTCGGGCCTAATTCTATAGTGTTATATATCTATGATATTGGTTTTTGCAAATCTCTAGCTGCAGCAATTTATGGGCTGTACTGAAGTTAAAGTTTTATCAGTTCTACCTTTTTTTTTTAAAGTTATTTGTTTTACATTGTAATCTCCGTTGAAACTGTTTCAATTGTAATAGTGAAAGTTATAGAAGCTAGATAATAGTGCTTCGGCCAGCAAAAGGTGCCCCACTGATTAGAAGCACTAAGTTTTGCTGCTCATGTATTGTTTCTATGGTTGTTTACATAACTTATGTTCCATAGTTAAATCATATTCTAAATATGCCTATAACAGGACCGATAAAGGCTGTCAATAGCATGGAATTAAAGAAGATTTTGGTTTTATGGTTAAATTAAATGAGCAATTACTTTGCAGAATACACCTCATTTTATCTACCTTCATTAACAGGGAATAAATATTAGCTGATCCTGTTTCTCTTGCGCTTGAGTTGGATCATAGAAATGTCTACATTACTTCTGATTTCTAGGATTACTTGATGAATCAATTTCCAATAGCCTGGTAGAAGCCGATTTAAATGATCATTTTTAACTTGTTTTTGTATACTTATTTAGTTATTATTGGACTTATCCTGGTTCTTTGCTGCCTAGTTATTATTGCCACTTGTTGCAGTCACTGCCATCAATTTTCAACTGTTTCTAGCACTTGGGATTCATCTGCTTTCCATATTGTTTACCTAGTTCTACTGGCTATGATTTATGATACAGTTATTGCGACTGCTTTGCTGCTGGTCTGTACTGTATTGAGCCTTGTTCATGCCAAGATTGCTTCAATAAGCCAATTCATGAAAACAAGGTTCTAGAGACTCGCAGACAGATTGAATCTCGCAATCCACTAGCATTTGCTCCCAAAGTGATTAGAATCACGGACAGTGTTTCAGACTCCGGGGTTAGAATCTATTTCCATGATAAAGCTTCTGGGTAGTAATAGAGTAGCATCAAAGTCATCAGAGTGCATTTGCTCATCACTTATTTTGGTGTGTAACCTTTGCTTTGGTATGTTTGAATAAGGCCAAAATGAGAAAGGGGTGTCGAACCTTGGAAATCGAAACTCCTTTCTCCTTTGAAAGGTTAACAACCACTTTGCCAAGCTTGGGTTCTTAGCATGATGTTATTTGACATGGCTCATAATATTGTGATGCTTTGCCAACTTAACTATGAGCAGTGTGGGCTTTGATGATGATTTTGCCAAATTTATATAATTTGACTCTTCTTTTGAGAATTCTACGTTACTCAAATCAAGATGGTGTTTGCTCTTGCAGGGTGAAACTAACAAAACTCCTGCTTCAGCCAGGCATAAAAGAGGATGCAATTGTAAAAAATCAAGTTGCTTAAAGAAATACTGCGAATGTTTTCAGGTTTGTCAGTTCAGCTCATTCTGCATAGAAATGTTTTCCTCACCAATCTGATATGGTTGTTGTCTCTGTGTATGAAGGCTGGTGTTGGATGCTCCCCCAGCTGTAGATGTGAAGGTTGTAAAAATAGATTTGGTCAGAAGGGTGGTGAGTCTTTATCTCATACTGTTTGGTTGAATACAACTATTAATGTTTGGAACTGATATTCAAAGTTTTTTTGCCCTCTCCAATGTAGTTCTTTTAATCATCTTATTATGGCAGTACGTCCAGCACAGCAAGTGCACTCCATTTTTCTTATATTTTCTAATGTAGCCTTTTCTTTTGTTCCGCTAGGAGGTGATGAATCTGAATCTGATGGGGAGGACTTAGAGACCTGTGAAAGGAATGCATCAGAGAAAAATTCACACGACATTGTAATAAATAGAAGTGAAGAGTATCCAGATCTTTCAGTACCTTCCTCTGATTTATCCAGGTATTATTTCACCTTAGATTAGTTAGGCTATTCTTAATTTCTTATACTATCTAGATTCTTTCAAGTGGTAAAGGGTACACCATTTTGCAGGTTGCCATTTGCTTTTAGTGGGAAGCTCTCAGGATCTTTTCTCCATTCTATTAGGTTATCTCCTCAGTTGTGCACCACTCAAGAACTAGGTTCATCAGATTCTTCCTCATTTCGGCCCAAGTTTGAATCACATCTTCAGGCAATTCCAGAAGATAAAACTCCAGAGACTCTGAAACATAATTTGTCACCTGTTCTGGAAGCAACCTCCCCAAACTGCAAGAGGGTCTCACTTCCACATCGTGAGTGCAGTTCATCCAATACGTGGCGTAGTAGGAAGTTGATTCTGAGATCAGTCCCTCCATTTCCATCATTCTGTCAACCATGAAAGCTGTGACTTTCCAGTTAGAGAACTCTTTAAAGGTTACCATGTTCTTCATGATGCTGGTCTTCTCCAGCAATGAGATCTTGAGGCAATTATATTCCATATTTAGTAATGTACTTCCGGTCCACGATCCAGTGCTTAATGATTATGGCTCTTGAGCTTTCAAATTTCATAAAAGCACTGTATTATCTTTAGAATGTGCTTTGTTTATAAAAGTGAAAACTCTGTAATACTATTTTGTGTATTTTTTTCTCCATAAATTGTGGCCTAAAAACATCTTAGCGATTTTCCTTTTCTAGTGTATAATATATACTTGGAATTGCTTATTTCTAAGTTCCTGCTCGAGTTTAATCTCTTTTCCGGTGTGGATGGGATCAGAATTTTCCTCAACATCTTCTTTGATTCAACCTTCTGTTTTCTTATACTCTTCTGAATTTTGCCAAAAGGGAAATCAGCTTCAAGATTGTTAAACTGAATGCATTTGATCACAGCTTTCAGTCCAGCAATTTGTTTGGTTATAGCCACAAGATGAGCTGGGAAAGAGTCTTCTTTCTGTTTGCATTTCCCTGGTGGTTCTCTTTACATACCTCCAGTGACCCTAGAGAAGAGTTTGCTAATGAGAACCTTTCAGCCATGTTGAATTCACAAACATATTTGATTGCCTGAAGCGGATGCTCCTTTGATCTTGTGCAGGGTGTTCTAAGTTCATCAAAGGCTGTTGAAGAATGTCTGCCACTATTTCATGATGAATGAATTCCTTCAAAATCTTCACTGAATCCATACTCTTTCACAAGTTCTTTAAAACGTTTCTCATGCCTAGAGTTCCCTCTTATTCCTTACTTGATGTTCAAACCTTTCTTGAGCCATCATGAAAATTTCTTTTCTTGCATATCAAGTTTTCTCAATCCTACCTCAAACTCTAGCTTAGCCAACTCGAGTTCTTCCAACACACCCCTGATTCCTGTCAATGTCCTTTTGACTTGTCTGTGATCTTCTCATCAACTCCAAACTCCTCCCTCCGTTCAAGCTCTTCACACCTTTGTTTAGTGGCATCTGCCTCTAGACTCAGCTTTTCTTCCCTCAACTCGAGTTCCTCTCCCCCTGTTCAAGCTCTTCACACCTTTGTTTAATGGCATCTGTCTCTAGACTCAACTTCAATGGCATGGAGCTACCTGGAACGTTCATCAATGGACTTCCCAAAGGAACCATAGTGATTTTCCACTTGTTTCCACTTAAGGGTAAGTGAAAGAATGGAAGAAACACCAAGGCTGATCTTATAAACTGTTGGCGATTTCACTTTTACTAAATGCTTCTGTTTTTGGGTTTATTTTATGTTGTTATAAATCTATTTGCCTCAATGCATGCCGAGTTTAAACTAGAATACACAAAAAGCAGACATCTAATTCATCTAGTCTTCAACCTCTTTGGATTTTCGGTGTTCTACCATAAAACAATTGGCCAGAGACTTCCAACATAACCAACAGCCACGAATCTTGAGATTTTGGCATTCACTGTTCATCACGCGCCTGTACCACAATCCAACAGCTAAAGACAGGGAGGCAAAAAAAAAATGTAATGGGGTTTCAATGTTATTAAGAATAATATAAGAACAAAAAGCTCTCATCTTGTTAAGATCATTAAAAAAATGCTAAATAAAAACTTTGTAAGCTAAGGCACCAAGCTAGTTCTTCACATCAATCATAATAATGTAATATATGGGCAAAACTTCCAGATGCTGTCTACTTAACCAAGCTAAGAATGGAAGTATCACTATATTGATAAAAAACAAAGCTCTCTTCAGGCTCCAACAACCTCGGTTTCCCCCTCTGCCATTGTCTCATCAGCTGGCCTCTCCAACTTCACACCCACATCCTCTGAATAGTCACCATGAACCTGCAGATATTAACATTGCATCAAAAGAGAGTACATATCATATTCATGACGACTAAGAATCCAAACCAGAATCGGACAACATGATGCAACCATTGAAGCCAAGTTTACAATAAACCAGAACATACCTCCATCAACTTGCCAAGATCAAACTTGGGAGCCTTAAGGATCTTGACTTTACGAATGAAAACATTCTGTAAGGGATAGATGCTTGAGGTAGCCTTCTCAATCTCTCTGCCAATCACCTCAGGGATGAACTTTGCAACAAGTTCTTTCAAATCACAGGATGAGGCCTGGTTAACCATAATTTCCCTCATCTTCCGGCGAATCTGAGAAAGAACAGCAAGTAAGAAACATTGAAGTTATGTGAAACTACCACTTAACTGATCAACAATCCAGGATAAGAAATTTGAACCTGACGGATCTGGCTGGACTGAGCATAACAGGTTCGCTTGACCTGGTTTGCACGTCTCTTGGTAAAAGCAATGCAGAACAACCTCAAGCTGTAATTGTCAGTAGTCTTAACATCAACATGAGATTCAATCAAAGTCTGCCACTTGCGCACCAAAGATCGCAGCTTGTCTGTGGTGAAGTCCATTCCCTAAAATTAAGCAAGGAAAAATTAAAATTCTCCATACAGGACTATATAAAGATAAAACGCAGCCTATGTAATTGTGCTAACAAAGTAAACCATAATGCTACCTACCCAGAAGTTTGTGAGAACATTCCTCCCTTGCACATCCTCGGCTCTAAGTCGGATCTTCCTGTAAGCTTGATCTTCATCCTTTTGAAGGTCAGCCAAAGAAACCTCAAACACTCTATGCTTAAGTCCTTCAGAAGCAATCTGTCAGATCGAAGAATACAGCAGACTAGTCAGTAGCAAAACATAAAATGACTCGCAAAGCTAAAGTCTCTGAGTACATAAAACTGCCACAAGTTGAATAGTAACATCAATTTTTATCCTCCGTAACTCATACTTTAGCTTCAAAAATGTTAGGTTTAAACGTGTTATTCTCTGAATCCACCAATGCACTGCTCCACCAATTGATTATTATAAACACAAAAATATCACAAGGTTTAAGGCTATAACTATAATTAATTACATCAAATATCTACATTATCATTCTTGATTCACGGTAAGCATCACTAATTAACTCTATTCCACTAGCATTTGTTCTCAAAGTCCAAGTAAGAGTTCATTCCATCAGCTCATTTCCAATACCTTTAAGAGCATCCGAACAGTAGAGAAAAATGGGCACAGAATTATAGAAAAAAAGAACTAACCTTTGTGCCCTGAGTTCTAGTAACAAGAGTTTTGCCAATGTTCCTCTCATTGAACACTGAAGGTGCCTTGATATCATACCAATCCTTCTTTGCAAAAGGATCAGCACTGTTTCCACATAAATAATAAAAAAAACCCATTAAAAAATAAATTATCAGAAATGCTACCAAAACACTTAAAAAACAAATCTTTAACAAAATAATATAACAAAAAAAATTGTACAATTAGACTTACGCTTTCTTTTTGCCTCCCTTCTTTCCCTTTGATATCCTCTTGTTCTTCCTGCAAAGAAAATCAAAATTGAATCACTCAGAGACTCTAATTTACAAAGTTTCTGAGATAAAGTTACAATTTTGGAGAGAAAGGGGTTACCCGACGGCCATGGTTAGATAGAGTGAGGGGTGATTAGGGTTTCTAAGGAGGGGGAGAGTGAGGGGTAAGTAACAGAGGGAGCTTAATATGAAACCCTAATCCTTAAAAACCCTAGAATTGCAGTGGTGGTTTTTAGTTTATAGGGACGGAGGGTTTTGTATATGCCACTGATTTATGCGGTAATTTACAGAAATGCCTTAGGGCAGGGTTTTAGGTGTTTCGTGCATAAAAAAATATAAAAATCTTGTGAAATTGTCTTTTCATTTTTACCAAAAAACGTCTTTTTTTTTTAATTTACTTTTACTGAAAAAATAAAATTACTTGACCACCCTTAAGTAAATAAAATATTATAAAAGTTTAAAAAAATAAAAATTTATTGATGAAATCACAATACTGGTGGTTGATATAGGATTTAACATAATAATTTAACTATTTTTTATGTGGTTAATTCATTTTCTTAAATAGAAAAAGTAATGTCTAACTGTCGAATACCCTTTTGTTTATGGTGAATTATTCTATCAAATACATTTCACAACAAATGTGTAAAATTTTTTGTTTGTAAAACTAAAATCATGGGTTTTATCCTTCGGTCCTGGAAAACGAAAAGAAAATAATGGGTCGATACTAAAGGCATTGCTTTGCTCAAGTCCATTCCTTCAATCAATTATTATGCAGATAAATAATCCAACATTATGCTGGAGGAAAGGAAAATTTTCTCATAACATTTGTAGGTTTCTATGCTGTATTCAAGCCCTCCAATGGAGGACTAGAAGGGAAAAACACATGAATAGAAACAAATAACTTAGAGATTTAGCAAAAACCTAAACAATTCTGGAAAATTATCTTCATCCCCTTTTCAATTTCAGAGTATGGGGCAATAATTAAAAGCCTTCAATCAATGTCATCGGCATTAAGATTAAATTTTCAAACTTCTTAAAGCAGAAGTAAGTAGGCCAAGTTTGTCGGAAGCTCTCTGCTTGTAGTCTTTCTCCAAGGCTGTTGCTGCCAAAGATTGGAGCTCTGGACTCTCCTTGTCTTCCTTGTTCCTTCCTTTTGAAAGCTGTGCTATGGCAGAGGTGCACTGAAAAAGAGGATTAAACTTTATTTCAGCAAGAGATCAAATCTAAGGACATGGAGAAGAGCAAGTTCGGAACTATTTTTTGATAAGGTTTTAGTTAGTAGAAGGATAAAAGCTGATGCATGCGTCTAATAAACAGTAATGCATCTTAATTCTTAAAAGAAAGAGAAGGAGCTTACCAAGCAAATTCCAAGAAGTGCTCTGGTATTCTTACCCCCTGTCAAGTCTATAGTGGATGCATAATATTTCTTGGCAGTCTGAAGGTTTTCTAGTCCACCAAGTGTGTAAAGCACCTGTTAATGAAAAGTGTAATAAGTGATCATTGAAACAAGAATTCAAAGGAGAATCAAAAGGGTTCCAGCTAGAAGTTTTTTTGTTAAACCAATGCACGATGGGAAATATTATCTTGTACAGACTGACATCCATTAACACCCATCCAGTAGTTCCCTTCCTGATTAGTCAGGAACCATTATTGTTCTATGGTGAATTCATGGTCTTTACATTCTTGCATAACAGATGAGGTTCTTTGTTCCATATGGTCTTTATATTCTTGCAGAACCATAATTACTACAGAACCAGTTCTCTATTCGGTGGATTAATTATGAAAGAGAAGAAACTAAAAGAAGAGCATTTGCAAAGAGAAGAAGAATGTTATTCAGTAGAAAACTTGGAATTTAAATCACTAATGAAATAGCATCCTAGGTTCTAGATAGAACAAGTGGGCAAAAAGGTTATACAAGATATAAAGAAGACACTTACATCAGCATAGGCCAAATGATATAATGGTGCTGTAGGTTGAGATAAAATAAGCTCCTCATAGCAGAATGCTGCCTGCTTGTACCTGATTTATCAACACAAATATAAAAAGGCTTAAGCTATAGCCATGTTGTGAATTCGCAACATAAAAGGAGATAATTATCAAGCCATATAAATTAACACTCACATTTGTAGGGAGACATATATCTCTGCAAGTTCTCTCCAAGCATCATGGTCTGCCATAAATCTATCAAAAGAAAAAAAAAGGAAATTGAGTGACATTTCTTCTTCTGTATATTATCGAGTTAGAAAAATTAACAAATAAAGGACAGTGTCACTGTGGTGAGGGGAGAGAGTTTTCTGAGATATCTAACATTTCAAGATATTTATTAAGCCACTCAATAGCCCCTGAAATATTTCCTTGAGCCTTTGCCATGGCTACTCTCCTCTTTTGTATTACCTGCACAAGAATAGGATCTGTTATCATAGACCCCTTTTGTTTTAATGAAATAACACATAATCTTTTAGATTGACTCTTTTGGCCTTTCAAGAAAAAGATTGACTCTTTTGGGAGGAGTAGAAAGAGAGAGAAGTGGGGTTGGGGAGAAGCACTGGTTGCAGAATTTACTTGATCAAGTGGATTGTCCTCTAAAAGGCTTGAGTAAGCTTTTTCTGCCTCAGCCCAGGATCCCTTTGCTTCAAGCAACATGCCCTCCAGCCTGCCTGTAGACCAAGAGATATTAAAAACACTAGGCCATCAAATGGTAAGAGCAAATGAATACGGCCACCAGAAACTCATCATTTGGTACGCAAAAGCACTCAAACTAATTTAAGAACAAATTCATTCATCTTAATCATGCCATAATCCACTAATGTGTAAGCCCAATTAGGTTTGGGGTAGAATTTTGGCCAAGATGTTCAGAAGAAGCTTAATTCAGATGTGTCATCTATCAAAGGGTAGACCATGAATGTTAAGTCGTACAAACTGAACCCACAGAACATAAATTTAATTGTCATATATACTTACCAACCCTTTTGCTCTCTGGAAATTTTTTCTGTAAAATCTTTATGCAATCCTGCAATAATAAATTGCATCAATTTAAGATAGATAAACTCATAAGCCTACCATCAACAGGCAACCATATAAGCTAAACAGCACTGCAGTTCAAGAAATAATACAAGGAACTAAGAGATAAGCATAAGAATTGATGTCAGTGAAGCCTAAACCAGCAACACTGAACAAAAGTTGCACCATTATGAACATGCAACAGGCTAAAGCCAGATCTTTCTAAACTAATGCCTTCGCAGAGCATGAGAAAACTGTAAAATCAAGCACCATCTTAAAGAATTCCTAACATGTTTGAAGGAGAACCTAGATCAATAATGAGAGTGGCCCAACCAGAGGGACAATCATATAAATAGGTAAAAGAATAGAATTAGTTTTGTACATAAATGGCAGTCTCAAAAATGAATTCTTTAATGTTATAATTACATTAACACAACACAGTAACAAAAAGCTTAAAAGCAATCTGAAATGGAAAACCTCATAGACAAGATTTGTACCTTGGCAACATCAAGACATTGGCAATCCATAGCAGCAATTGCTACTTGCTCATATAGAGTCCATTCTGCATCAAGATATAAGTAGTTGTTACTAATAATTACTGTACATAAAAAGTGGGATATAAATTAACAGTAGAACCCAAAACTTAAAATCACATGCTGACAGATCAAAGGGCACTGGCTCGCAAAAGCATATTGCCCTTAGCACATATGAAATTCAATGCCAACAGAAGTCCTGAATGATGTTATACCACTCGAGAAAATGTATAAAACTAACAAAAAGTCTTGTATCTAAATGAAGGTATAAAACTAACAAAATGTCTCAAACGCATTAAGCACTACAAATTGTGCTTCAAGAAGTTTTATCTAACTATTTCTAATTAATTCTCAAAACTCCAGCCGAGAAATCAATATAATGAATACTCAGCCTGACTTCTTGACTCGCTAGTCAAACCAATTTAAATCAAGCTTGAAACTTTCCAATTTTCATTTTAAAAAGACAATTACATCACCTCGAGCATCTATTACCCCCATCAAATCTGCAATTCTTTTTTCTTTTTAAATCATAAAGCTTCGAATTTTAATTTTAAGCAAATCAATGACAAGGTCCGCAATCCATAAAGCTTCAAGTTGTGAAATTCAAGCAAAACCAAAGTGAGCAAATCAATAAAAGAATTAAAATTCCAAAAGCAAAGCAAAACCAATTGCATAAACCAATAAAAAAAACTCAAAATTGAAATCAAACACTTTCAAATCATCGAATACAATGAAAACCCAATTTCACAAATCAACCAAACAAGCTAAAGAAAGAAAGAAAACAGACTAACCTTCAGGGCCAAGAGCAGATCTTTTTTTGGGGTCATTCAAGATCGACAAGCCATGCTTCAAGACTTTCTCTGAACGCCTAACTTTGAGCTTCCTGACAAGGCAAAGATACTCCCAAACACCTCCTCCTCCATTGTCAACCTGATTTTCAAGGCTGTTCAATTGGGTTTCCTCTGTTTTGCTCACCATCTCTCTTGTATTTCTTTCTTGGTATCTATAGACTAGTTGCTCTGTTTTTGGTTTCTCTCTCTCCTCTCTGGCCACTGGCCGGTGTTTTGGATCTATAGTGGGTTATTAATTGACTTTTTGCAACACTTTCATCCTTTGTTTTGTTGTGTTTTAGTTCCATCTTCCAACTGCTGAAGGCAATGGGCTCTACCTCTTTTACTTTTCTTTTCCCATACCATAGCCCTAAAGGCCCAAAATAAAGCACCACGCCACCCGCAAAGGAGACAGACCCCACCAAAAGCAACAAAACGCAGCGTATTATAGCAGAACATTAAACCCTGAGGAAACCAGAAAAGCGAAATGTGGCGTTATGGCGTCTCAATTCTAAAACCCTACCACTACGTCCACTGCAAAAGCTACCCAGCAAATTCAAAATCAAACTTGACAAAAACCCCAGTCATCAAATCATCAAATTCCTGGACTTTAATGACGACCATCACCGAATCCGATGTGGGAATCCTTTGTTTCATCTCCCACCTTCCTGGTTTCCGTGGCATCCTCAAACAAAGGTGAAAGGTCCCTCTTTTTTTTAAAAAAAAAAGAATAAGAGAAACTAGTACTGTAAACCCTCTTTTGTTTACATTCTTTTGGAAATACCTATTTGTTGAATTTTGTTTATTTCACGTGCATGCATGAATATTTGTTTGCTTAGTTGATATGGTGGAATGAGGTTTAGTTTAGTGGCAAAGGGCTTAGCTTGACTCAAGCTCGTAGCTTGCTAGTGGTGTAGGTATCTGGGATTGACAAAAAGGGGTTCTTTTTCTTTAATAAAAATGGAGAAAAAATGAACATTGGAGGTTTTGAGAGTGATTTCTGTGTTATGAATTGGCTGTAATGGCAGTTGTCTATGGAATTTGATTGCTTTGAATTTTTTGTGAAGGTATTCTGATTTCATTGTGAATGAAGTAGACACTGAAGGAAATGTTGTTCATTTGACCTCCTTAGATGCCCCTCCGGAGGTGGTCTGACTCAAATTCCCTTTTCCAATTCATCTTTGAATGTATTTTGTGTATTTTAATAGGTGATAGTTTTTTTTTTTTGAATAAATTTACTCAGGCTGTTCAGGAAGTTGAAACAAAGATACCTGATCAACTGAACAAGTGTTATGCATCTGAAATTATAAAATTCAGATCACTTGCTGGTGACACTGATGCAGATCGCTTAGAAGCTTTTATTAATCAAATTACTTCAGGCAGTGAAGAAGATATCTGTCCTATTGTTCTGTCACCGGACTCTGATAAATCTCATCGAACGGTAAGCTTTCATTTTGTTTTCTTGTTACTTTTCCATTTACCTTTCTGGGCCTTTCTCATGTAGGTGTTACTCAATGTAATGCAAAGTGGGAATCAAACTAACTAGAAGGTTTTTGTTTTGAGTTTGAGATTTTCAGGCAATGCATAATTTCTTTAAGGAGAATCTTAGATTCCTTGTCACTGACACAGTTGATGGACCTGATTCTTCATCAAAATGCATTCGTGTGCGATTAAATTCTGGGAATAACAACAAGGGCAGAAATTCCAAAAAAAGGAAAGAGAGAGGTGATAAGCCCTATGATAGTAGAGGTTCAAGCCACTGGCCAGAGCATCTTGGCAAGTTCCTTAGGTAGCCTATCTCACTCTTATATTCATTTTTTTTTTGAAAATTCACTTTTACATTCATTTGATGCCTTTCAAGATGGTAGAAAGAAAAATCATGTCAGAGCTTTCTCCTTTCTGACTCAATTGCCTTATTGTGCCATGAAGTCATTATTATTGCACTTGAATTACATCTTGAAACTGCTATCTTCTATGTGAATATTCAGGTTCCATCTTTACAAGGAGAATAAAGATACACAGGAAGCTTTAGGGTTGATTGGAAAGTTGCTTGGCATTCAGGTATGATGAATGATATATTTAAAACTGGTGGTAGTACCTATTCAATGGAAATGCTTTTCATTAACATGTGTTTTTGGCAGCCAAGGTCATTTGGATTTGCGGGAACAAAAGATAAGCGGTCAGTTTCAACTCAAAGGGTAAGTTGGTCACATATTTGCTGCTTTTGTGCTAAAATTAATTGGCATGTTGGTTAATTTTGGCAGATTACTTGCTCTACCATGAACTGTGTAGCTCATTTTGGGAGATTATATGATCAAAAGCAGACATGTTATGTAGTGTTAGTTCTCTTCTAAAATAAATATGCAAAAGCTAGACTTTAGTGTCTTGAAAAGCTGATGGATGTTATGTTTGAGAAACTTTCTGAGGGAAAATTATAATTAAAACAAATTGCAGCAACCTCAATCTGTTGACTAAACCCATACCTCTGTATTAGAAGAACTGGTGTCAAAAACGTCCATAAGTGACGTTTGATTGCATTATCGTTCTTGTTGTTCTACCTGAAAACCATGTTACTAGTTATGCATTTCAATGGCATAGAAATTTAAGTTATGGAACACTACTGCCTGACTAATAGCTTCTCACTATGTCTTCATTCTAAATGCCTCCAGCACATTGATCTGTGTATGGATGGCTCTGATACTTCTTGTGTATGTGCACTTTTGTGTATGTTTGGGTTTTTGCTGTATAATTGATTGCATTTAAGTGGAGCTTTTTCCTTTTGGGTCTCCAGGTAACTGTTTTCAAGCAGCATGCAAGCAGATTAGCTGCATTGAATGAAAGGTTGATTGGTATTAAAGTGGGAGACTTTTGGTAAGGTTGATGGATGTAAGATTCTGGTTTTCTTATCAATTTATGGCTTGATGAACCATTACTTATGGTGCCATTATTGTCTAGTTATGTCGAGGATGACCTTCTTCTTGGCCAGCTCTTAGGAAATTGGTTCACAGTCATACTGAGGTGAGCTTGCTTTCCCGCATATGAATTCCATATTAATGTTGCCTTATTCTTTGAACATCCTCATGGCTACTTTCAACTTCCGATATCCTATCGCTTATCGAACTCATTTATCCATCCAGAGGAATTGTTGCAGACTCTGAAGAAACTATCAAAGCATCTGCGGAGTCCTTGGGAAGGCATGGCTTCATCAACTACTTTGGTTTACAAGTACTTCCTTGATCATCTTTCTTTCTGCTCTCTCTCCCCTTCTCCCCTTCTCCCCTTCTTCCTGATTTGTTCTTGCTTTTATATTCTTTTCTAAGCCTCTATAATTTTTCAGCGTTTTGGAAGTGGTTCTATTCCAACTCACCGTATTGGAGCCACATTGCTGCGAGGAGAGTGGCAAGCTGCTGCAAGCACAATACTTGATCCAAGAGAAGGGGATATCCTTCATTTAACATTTTTTTTCGTTTTCTTTTGGGCAAAGCACTTTTTAGATGCTTGACTACTCAAAGGGTTTTCTGCATTCAGCTCTGAGATATAATTATTGGTTATAATCTTGACTTGAATATCTAAATACAAAGAGACTTTGTAAGCAAGGCACGGGAATATTATAAAGAAACTGGTGATATAGAAGGAACTCTCAGGCAATTACCTCGCCATTTAGTTGCAGAAAGAGCTATGGTAAGTTCCCAGCTAGTTGCCCCTGCATGGCTTTGATATCCATTATTTCGGCTTATTAGTGCTTAATCAGATTTTCTTTGTGTGTCTCATAATAAAAAGTCATATTTATTCTTTTACCTTTTTCAATTTCATACAGCTGCAGGGTTTGAAGAAATGTCCTGGGAACTACTTGCAGGCCCTGAAGGCTATACCTAGGACTTTGAGAATGATGTAAGTGCTTGATATAACAGGAAGCAGTAATGTAATTTTGGTCTCTCAATTTCTAAATGGCCAGCCTCCAGAGAGGCAAAATAAATATTTGTTTATGTCTGTGTACTCTAAGTTCTCATCGTTAGAATGTTTTGTGTGATAAATGCTTTAGTGAGCTCTGGCACAATCTTTTACTTTGCCGCTTTGCTTGTAAGTTTATCTCTCACTGTCTCACATTTCATTCTTAAATCCATCGTGAGCTTTGTTTTACTGTTAATGGCCAGATTATATATTTCCGGTTTACTGCAATAGCTTGATTGGTTACTGACAATTCACCCCTTTCCCTATGTGTTTCATTCTTGTTAATAGATGCAGTAGTGTTAGTTGAGTTGAACAAAGCCTAGTTAGTTGATATGAGGATAATTACATTGAGATCCTTAGAATCAGTTGTCTGTTCTCTCTCAAGAAATATATAGAGATAGATCCTCACAATTGGTTCACCTCTCTCTCTTACACACACACTTTTACATGCATGAGAACAGAGGTAATATTGAGTCTAAATTATTTCTGTTTTACTGATCAGGTATGTACACAGTTACCAAAGCTATCTGTGGAACCATGCAGCAAGTATGAGAGTGGAAAAATATGGTATGCTGTTTGATATTTTTACTTTTTGGTGGGTGGGGGGGTATTTATGCACTTTTAACAGAGAGCCTTTCTAGTTTATGCTGTCATTATTTTCATTATCAAAGCTGTACTAAAATGTTTCAAGGTAACTGTCCAACATGACTCTGTTATCCTACCATATACAGGAAGCAATGAAGTTGTTTTAGGGGACTTGGTATATTGTAAAGGAAATGATGCAGAAAAGGTGAAAGTTGTTCCAACTGAACATGAAGATAATAACTTTGAAGATGCATATGATTATAGTCAATTAGATGAAATATCTGGAACAGATCTTCCAGAAGGGAAAAATAATCTCGTTAAGGTCAGTAGTTACTTGTTTTTATGTATAGCTTTTTCTAATTTCTGAATTGTGAACTGAGGGTGTTAAAGGAAATTTAGAAAACAATTGATACTGAAAAATAGTTTGTTTAATACAATGCTTAGATGATAAATTTTTTTTAGAATACTTTAGCTTACTTTGTTACCTAATTTTTGAAAGTGTGAAAGATGTTCTAATTTTGGTTACATTAGATGATAATCTGCTGTATACTTTAAATGAAATGTTAGTATCAATCTTTTTAACCTCGATTCAAAGAATTTAAGATAGCTTCCACTGTCTGGCAGGCCATAACTGCAGTAGATATTAGTACTGGAAATTATACTATCGAGGATGTTGTCCTTCCTATGCCTGGGTAAGGGAATACCGTAAGGAGTTGCTGCAGATTTTACATTGCCCTTATCATTTCCATATTTAACTTTTCTTTCTTTCATTCCTGACAATGTTTTGCTGTTTCCTTGGCAGTTCTAGAATAATTTATCCAGTGAACGATATTGCCAATGTATATCATGATATGGCAAAGAAGGTCCATTATCCTTGTTAATATATATTAAATCTTGCTATGACTCACTGCATGCTATTTAAGTTATAACTTACTGGAAAATGAAGGCACGCATTCATTACTTAATGAACCTTTCTCTGCACAATTTCGTGATGTGCTTGCCAAGGGTAACTTTAATTTGATGTGAAAAAATTAAAGTTCTGATTAATGAACGGTAGCTGCCGGGGAGCTACTACTTGTTACTTCTTTCGTTTAAATACCAAATTTTAATGTTCTAATATTCATTTTTTAAAATTTATCAGGATGGGATCAGCTTGACTGAGAGTGTTCATAATACCAAGTACATATACATTATTTAAAACCGTCCCTATATTTTTTCCCCAAGACTTCTTCTCAAACTCCCCCTTCATGTTTTTTTTTTTAATTTTTAATTTTTTATTGTAGGGAATTTTCAATAACCAGCATGACGGGAAGCTACAGGCATGTTTTTCAGAAGCCAATTGACTTTGAATGGTATATCTGCTTTTCCTTTGTCTTTTTTAGCAGAGTTCTTTTAGATGCCTTGGAAATACTGTAGACCAAGTAATACCATCTATTTTGTTTCAGGGAATTGCTTTCATATTCAGATGGAACTATAGCATTGTCAGAGACAGATTTAGACAAAATTGCGAAAACTAAACCTGTGAACCTGGTCAAGGAAGAGAAACCAACCAATGGAACTGAGGGCCAAGATCCATCTGATCATATGGAACATATAGAGAGCTTTGAGGATGATAAAAAGTTTTCAACTGACAATGTTGAGGTGGAGGGCTCTAGAGAAGCTGAGCCTCCACAAATTCATTCTTTGCCTGAGTCAAATTCTCTGGGAACTCAGAAGGCTCTCAAGTTGGCCTTCACACTTCCTGCTTCTTGCTATGCTACAATGGCCGTAAGAGAGCTTCTCAAGACATCAACATCTGTATGCACTTTAGTTAATTGTTTCTTTTGTTTGTCAATTCTGAATTTAATTCCCTACCCATCTCAAATTATAGCCCAATATAAAACATTACCTTCCTTTGTTCTTTGCTGTATTTGCAGGTTGCATTCCACAAGGCTCTTAACCAATAAGCATGTTGTTGCTCGCATACTTTACGATACTAGGATCAGGTTGCTGTGTCTTTCAGCAGGAAAAAGCACTAATATTTGCATCAAGAATTAAGGATGAGAAAATGAGGTTTACTCCCATATGTTAGAATGCATTTTTGTTTATATGTAAGTTTCTCTATAATGAGACAAATTTTTCCCTCTTTGCCAAGTAGCACATTACTCGACTAACGAAGTCAGACCTGCATTTCATTTCTGAGGAGTGCATTTGTCCCACATAAATCACACACTGATTCCTTTAGAATGCATGGAATTGGTTTGCCCGTGCATGTTGTGCTTTTATGCACGAGTATTCATAGTCAAAAGGACTTCACAAAACTAGTTACATGTTTGAAAAACCTTGCTAGATTAGAGTAGGTTGAGTGGTTGATGCAAATCTTCTTGCAGTTGAAAAGTCTGAAAGGCAGACGCAGCTGGAAGCTTTGGGAAATAGAAAAAGAGAATGTGTATCAATCTTGTATCTGTAATTCTATAATATTTTTAATACTTTTTCCAATATAATGTATCTCTAAGTTTCAAGTACTATTGATATACACAACGATGAATTCATTTGATTCAATCTATAAAGCCAAGTCGCGGTACAAACTTGTATCTACCAAGGCTGAAATATAGTATTTGCCTTCTCTCTCCCTTTCTAATCATCTGCGGGCTAATCCCATCGGCCTCAATCTCCTATGAGGACAAGTTTCGAACTTGGGTTTTACATAAGGATCTCGAGAAAGCCCAGTAACCAGGCAACTGGGCATCTTCCATGTCCAAAGGCACCTTGCTCATTGAAAACTAAACCTGATTCCTAGATCTAAACCAATATATGCAACACATTAAACATGCAAATGTAATTTACATTTTGTAATCGTGATTACAGCTACAGTTTCTTGCTTCCATTTGATTTTAGCATTAGTTATAGAAGTGCACAGAAGTGTCATCAATAAATAATTTCCTGCTTAAAATTTTTGCTTAATCATGATTTCATACCACTAATTAACCACCTCAGCAAGTAAAGAAAAGGACTTCCAGTTATTTTTTTTTTCATGAGCAATTGTATTCAGAGTGTGAAGTCTTTGCAGCGTTCTTCTTTCCTATATACCATCGTAAACTAGTTTTTCTGCTGCTAAATCTTGAATCAACTATCTTGTTCATCACTTCTCTGCTGAGGGTTGAACGTTCTTGAATCTTCAGTTAGAACAAAGTTGCATGAGGCTGCAGATATGTGAACCAGAAACGAGTTAGAGAATGCAACCTTAAAGCAAAACCAAGAAAACGAACTGAACTTTATTCCACTGCAGAGAAATTTTGACTTGACTTACCTCATTTGTAACAAGAGATTTCCGATATTCAGAGTAACTGGTTGGGCCACTGGTATCACCCTCATTGTCTTTGGGTGTCCTTGTTGACCGATGAAGTGTGACAAACCATGGTTCTTGATTCCATTCTGCAACGCCTTTCGACTGTGAAGATGAATAATGTTGTTGAATATTGTCACCCATTTCTTCAGCTGAAGTTGTTTTCTTGCCCTTTGCTTTGGAGTTGCATGCAGGTCGTTGTTTTGGTTCACTTTGTGACCTGAATTTGGCCCTTGAAGATTCTGTGTTGGTCATGTAATTTGGCATGTATGGATACTCATGAGAACTGAAAGAGGATCTTCCCCGTGTTGGCTTGGACATTGGAGGAGAATGTCTGGGACTGTTGTGCGTTGTGAAGGAAAACTCCTCATATTTTTGTTCTCGCTTTGAGATCGAAAGCTCTCCAGAGTAATATTTGGTGATTCCATGTTCAATCCTCTCAATCTGTGAATGATTCATAAAACCATTTTGGCTCTTCACAATTCCACGCTTTTCATAAAAATATAATAGTTATTAGTTGTTGAGTTTGGAGCACTTTATTTTAGTACTTGCTTTTCTTCGAAGGCACTAGGTTATTGACTTTATTGCACCAGTAGTTCATGTTTGGTTGATTAGAAAATGATGGAAAATGAAAGAAAACCAAACAGGCTATCTGATACCTTTGGGGTATAGAGATGTTAATGCCTTCATGGAAAGAAATACTTACTCTCTCTGCTCTTTTGAACCCCATCTCCTGGGGAAACCTTCCGTATCTTGATGATCGACATTTTACAGCAGGTCGTTGTTCCTCAGCCATCTGGATTCTCTGAAACCGGGCTCTAACTTGTATTGCCATAAGAGCATGCATACGTCTGAGAGTAGCAGTTGTTTGTTTCCTCACCAGGTGACCCCTAACCAGTGCTTGCAACTTGACTAGTCCCCTCAAAGCATGTAAAGCTTTCCTCGCCTGCAATGATATTTGATCAATGATATCATTTCTCTCAAACATTCTGTCCTAGTTATACAAATGGCAAGGCCTGCAACACGGGAATAAAAGAAAAGGTTCGGATTAGGACCAAAAAAGAACGAAAGGCGGCTTGAATCCTGGTGGCAGCTGCATCTTCTACCGCTTTGCTTATCAAAGAAGCTGCAGATGTTGCCTTTGTTTTTCTTTTGGTAGCTCTTGTCATTGCCATTGCCAAAACCCTGGTGTTATCATGCCGTTTCTCCAAGCCCAACACAGCTTGCTTCACAAGTGGAGTAGCGGTCATCGAGTCAAGGGACCTGGAACTCTTGTGAGCTCTCTCTTTACTAGCCAACTTCCCGAAACTCCATCTCCTCTTGAAAGGAGCTGCAGGTGGAGTAGCACATGGAGTTGTCACACTTCCTTCTTCAAACGATATTGAAATGTTTTTCCTTTTCCCTTTATCCTCCTTTCTCCCTAGCAAGAAGTTTACCAACCATCTGCTTGCCTTTCCCATATCTATCACACCAAGAAGGATCCTCACCTTAGTCTCTCTGAAACGAGATGAAGATCAATACCTACACTACTCTTTCCTTGTCCAAATACTTGTGTATAGGACTTTGGCTATCGTATAGTTTATGTAACTTGTTAATGTTGTTGACTGGTATTTTAAATTCATGTATGTTGGTATGGCTTTTCTTGCCATTAAATTTATGTCCTTCCATTATTTTATATATTTTATATTTGGCCAGGGCCTGCAATGGAAAACTCACCCTGATTAAGCCATTTGCCACTCCCTTGGAGATTCCTGGTAAAGATTCCTCTCCACTTGATAGAGCTTTCTCAACTGCTAAATTTTTTGTTTCTCTGAAAGTAGGGGCCCATAGAGAGAGACTATATATGGTCCCATTTGATGTAATTGTAACTTTGAGTGAAATGCTCTGGAGAAAGCTTTGTCTATACGAGATAGGTTATCTTAATAAACAGAGAAAAAAGGTCTACCTGCTTTTAGAAAAATTCAGAAGATTGACTTAAACCAAGAGGGCCTTCAATGAAACAAATTTGTCAAAGTTTATTTTTTTTTGTGTTTGTCACGTTATCAAGTGGAAATCTTGAATCTTAAACTAATTGTATATTTAAATGAAACTAACATCTTCAACTTGTGAGATAATTCTTATAAAATAAAACTATGAAGTCTAATGAAATAATAAAAAATAATATTTTACAAATTAATTTGGACCGTGACAATTAGTATCAAAACCAACCCTTCTTGAGGAGAGCTAAATCAAATCGGCAGCCGTTTGAATGGAATAGCTTGGTGTTTATTTCAGATATGAAAGTGGTGAACTAGCGTTCAGAAGCATAGGGATGGGGGCTCCAGGGCTGGTGTGTTAGGCTTCCTAACGCCAGAAGCTTCTGGGACTTCCCTCTCAGCCTGGTTAATATGGCAGAGAAAGCCCCAAGTCTTAATTTGGTAAACAAACAAAGAATCCGATTTCTATAAGAAAGTTCAGGCATCAAGATCATCCATTTTCCTGATTAATATTGATTTAAATGAACATGCCGTTTCAGTCAGGAACATAAACAAAAATTAACAGGTAGAAGATAAGTCTACAACCTATTTGAACCCATCATCCACTCCCAGAAAATCAAGAACATTGATGCACAAGGGGAAGGCCGAAAGGTGCTGGATAATTGACTAGAACCTAATACTAACAATTAGGATTCGTTTGAAAACCAAAATGCCTAACTGACAAGGTCCTCTCAACAGGAATCACTTCTAAAATTTGATAGGCCTGGACTCTAAAAAATTGTTACAGGTTACAGCTACAGATATTATACAAATGGAAGTCGTTCGTCAGGATTAAACCTCCTGCTTGGCAGTATTCTCCTTAAAGCTCTTAGTCAACCAGATGGCAGTTTCTCTGGGGGAGACCTTACCAGGTCCAAATGGCTTTAGTAGCACACCAAGCTCATCATACCTCTCTTGCTGCAGCAACCTTGCACTAAACTCAAGCAATCCTTCCAATGCCTCAGCACGTTGCTGATATGACGAGGGGTCAAACTTTCGCTGCCGCATGTCTGATGAGGTGCGGCTTGATGCCCCAGCAGTTGCATTTTGATCAGAGGAATCAGTTCCATCCTCTCCATCCACCTGAAACATGCAGCGCTGGATTCCCTGCCATGCATCAGTAAAATGGGGCTTGATAGGAGCTCGATCACATATTTGAACCGTACATTTGTCTTTTGTGATTGAACGGTCAACAAATTGTGGTGAGCCAGAGGAGCCCCGTGCAGATATTGATGAAGTTTTGTGGATGGGGAAGAATGCATTTTCATAAGAGGCTAATGGGAATTCAGCTATCTTATCAATCCGAGGAGCATTGACAGAAACATCTGGTGATTGTATGCAATGAAGAATACCAGCATTAGATATAGGAGGGGATTCTCGAATTTTAGCTCTTGTTGGTAGTGGCAAGGATGCTCTTCGAGTTGTGGGAAGAGATTTTTTAACTGGAGCGCGTGAAACAGGAAACTGTAAACACAAGGCAACAAACGGTAAAAACCCAACTTTTGAAACTAGAAAATGTTAATATCAGTGATCTCTATGCATGTGTTGCACAAGAGTCTGATAAAAGAGAAGACCGAGGGAAAGGGAAGGAAGGAAAGAAGCTCTATTGAATTTACCGAGTCACGATTTTTCAATGGCTCTGTCTTTCTCTTGGGAGTTGCAGAAGCTTTTGTCAGAGAACGTCTTGGAGTCTTGGTGATACTTGAAACTTTTGAAGTAATTGGCTTGCAAATGACTGTTCCTTCATGGCTGCTATCGGTAGACAAATCTTTAAACCTTTCATTTAAATAACCTGGTGCATCATCATGTATCCCTTTGGTAGAGCAAACAGAATCTTGCTCAGCTCCAGATATGCTTGGATTCAGAGTCCTATCATTACTGAATGATCGACGCCTCTCCCTGTAAGCAGAGAAGCGGAGATCTACTGGGTCTGAAAATCTAGTTTTCTTTACGTTGGTTGCAGGCCAATGCACCGGTAAAGTATTCCTTCTAGGATTATTAATTTTAAGATGAACTTTAAGAACATAAGGCTGAAGGTGTGGATGCCTAAGCAGTTCCTCAGCCTGTCAAAACCGATATACCACAGATGAGAGGAAATTTCATAAATTGAAGAAATGTGCATATGCAGATGCATGAATGGGCACAAAATTTCCTTCCAAACTGATCTAATGGGCATGGTTGCAGAAATATGCTACTAATCGTGAACACATTGAGAAAATGCAAAACTTTGGCTTTCAGAAGCAAATGTTGAAAGTATTTGTTCAAAGTTTGCTACAGAAAAATACTTTCAAAGCTCAGTGGAGAACTTTTCAATGTTTGCTGCCCCACTTTTGGTTACTTCCAACATGCTATTCAAACATAATCATTCTTAGTAGCATCCAGGTTCCTCCTCGAAACCAAGAAATTGACAGTTCTGAGAGCATATTACTTTGGGCAAAAATTAAAGGTGATTCCTTTCAAACCAAGAAAACTTATGTGGTGTCTATAGTGTATCTTGGAAATGTATTTCAATCTCCTGAAGGCTGACACTGGGGTGCCAAGAAGAGGTGCAGTATGGCACTAAAAACAACTGCAGTGTCATCGGACACTTTCTAAAAACATTTATATATCAACTAATATTTGGACCCATTATGGTGGATCCATAAAGATGCCCTGCATGTGTTGTAAGACATAGATTAGAGGAGTTATACGTACACTCGGCCTAAGTTCGGGATTTTTACGCAGCATGCTTTTAACAAGACCACGACTGAAAAGAAAATCAAGCAATAGTTAGATCAACATAATTCATCACTTGAAAATCAACATAATTGTAAATGAAATTGATGAGGGAAAAATCCAGTTATTACACTACCCAACTTTTGGTCTTCTACTTCAACATAGCTCATTGCCAATTGTAATCTTGGATGCAGCATGCTAGTACATTATTTTGTAATTTCCTTAAAGCACTTGATGGAATATGAAATTTTCTTGTTTTTAATAGGCTACTCTTTAACAAGCAGAAATACCTATAATGATTTCTATCATGAAGGGAAAATGAGGCTTACAAGGCACCAGAATATTTTGTTGGAAGTGGAGCAACTATTGATTTATTAATTTTGTTTATCAGCGCTTGCATATCCTGTTGAAGATATATAAGATTATTAGAAAAGGAAAAAAAAAACATGAAATGCGAAACGGTTGCTAAACATTAAATGAAATTTCACAATGCAGAAATGCCTCCTAAAGTCAAAGCATTAATTATACCTAAGAAAGAACCCTCATGAGAGGTATGCAGCGGCATTTTCTTATTCACCAGCAGAAATCAGTTATAAGGGCACACCGCCAGATATCTGTAACTACGAATCAAATATAATTTTTTGCTACACTGAAATACCACAAGAAACAAATATGGGAGATGCCTAACTGCAATCTATCCCTGTTGGCCCAGATGTCCAGCTGGAGCCCTAAGAATGAAAAGCATGATGTAGCTCATTCATGAGGACCAAATAGATACAGTGCTTCTGAGTTACTGCTCAAGATCTGACCAAATCACAGCTTGAAAAATGACAAATGATATGCTTGCCAACAAAACAGACTGTCTAATAAGGAGGCCCTGTACAACATTTGGAATTGATACAAGACTATTTATATGCTGACATAACCTCTCACATCACCATCTAAATAACATGTATACACAGAATCATTGTTAAAGACTACATACAATAATCATACTTCTATATTTCTAAGAATCCTTGTCTAAGAAGTCCTAAGCAGACTAACCTAAAAGATGTATATGCAACAGGCTGCAAATGGTTACAAAGTAGAAAAGATAGGGTTAAAAAAAACTCACAAATGCTTTAAATGCAGGCTTGAGAGAAGTCATTTCATATATACAGCACCCTGGACAATATACTTTCAAGTCATATAAACACATATTTAGAGGTAAAAATCTTGAAATTCTATCAAGAGTGAATAACAAATACAAGCATCCTCCGTATGCGAGCATATTCACCTAATGACCAGATATCTGACTTAGAACCATACGGTATATCAGCCAGAAGCTCAGGACACATATAGCTGGGAGTTCCAACAACCTGAAAAAACAAGAGTATTCTCCCCAATTATGATTAATAAAATCAAGTGATGCATTAAATTCTTGAAGGTTAGTATATTACTTACAGAGGATGCAAGATCATCTGAAGTCAAAATTTTGGCGAGTCCAAAATCACCTGCACCAGTGTTGATCACATCTTCGTTAGGAGAAATTATTATCCCTTCAAAGGAATTATATGAAAAGCAGTAAATTACTCACCAAGACGTATGTCTTGATCTTTTGTCAAGAATATGTTTGAACACTGAAAAAAACATGAAACAAAATATTATCAGTAGAAAGCAACTCCGGGCATTTTGGAAGATAGTAAGACCTTCAGTAAGAGCACAACAGTATGTGCACTAACCTTGACATCACGATGAAGAATATGATTCAAATGCAAATAGTCAAGAGCCATCAGGAGTTGAACAAGCCACTTGCACAGCTTCTGAACACGCTCAGATGCAATAATTTTCAGAGTTATGAATGTTCAATGAATAACAGTGCTTGGCTAAAAGTTGAAAGATAACAATCAACTTTAACAAAAGAGGGGATGGGAACAGAGTGGCAAAAGAATTGAAGAATTTAAGTGAGAAGCAAGGGAACAAACAAAACCTCTTCTGAGAAAAGCATGCTATTTGCTTTCTTTATGGCTTCAGCCCTGTTTTATAAGAAAAATCTTATTATGATTTGCTAAGATCTTGCAAGGCTCTTCAAGTTACAGAAATAAATGCAAAATCTCACAAATCGCAATATCAGAAAGAAAGGAAACTTACATGTCTCCTCCTTCACAATAACCTATAATAATGCATACATAGCAACCCTGAATACAAAGACATTAATGTGAGCCAATGTTAAGCCATAGATCACCAGGAAGAGTCTAATATTAGTGCCATGAAAATTAAGGCATACAATCAAGAGGTATAAGAAAACTGCATTTATTCCATAACCAACAATCAAAAGCGTAAACAGAACAAGAATAGAGGCCCATCCAGCGGACCAGCTATTAATGGAAATAGTAGATATAACCATACCTTTTCCACCCAGGAATCTTTGTACTCCACAATAAATGGGTTTCGAATTTTTGAAATGAGCTCCATCTACATGAACCAGTCGAAGGTTAGTCTATAGCTTGAATTAAACTAAGTTTATACCGCTGAAACAAGCAGTAGGACAGCAACCTTGGACAACAACTTTTAGTCCAGTCAATTCCAATATATTTCAGGTCCAAAAACTACTATAGCTAACATGTCTTGGATTCTAATCTCCTATTTTTCCTTCAACATGTGAATTAAATATAAATCAAGCCCATCCATGTTTTTTCTTTTATATCTCTCCTTTGTTCTCCCTTTTGTTTGCCTCAATAAAACACATTAGGAAATCTTCTTTCTTCAATTACCATGGAAGGATTCTGGCAGTTATCCATTGAAATAGAGTGACATAAACATCATAAATGGAGCAGAAAGAATACAAGAGAAAAAAAGACCTGTCAGTAAATTATACAAACCTCTTGATGAGCAGATCTTCGTGACCTATCAGTCTGGCGGGCAAGACGAATTTTTTTCAGCACATACCTGATCATTCCCAGAGAAAGAGAAAGGACAGTGAATCGCCAAAAGATGAATCAATCATGCCTGTCTAATTGTTATTCTCACATATTCCATATGTAAAGTAAATATAAATAGACGAAGGCAAAGGGTCCTATTTGCCATCTTACTTCTTCTTTTCATGCTTATGCCTCACTAGAAGAGCCGAACCAAAAGCTCCCTTCCCAATTTGCTCTAGTATCTCGTACTGCTCCATGCGAGAGATGTATTTTTTTGACTTCCTTTTCTGGATTGCACCAAGGAAAAAGGTCAGTACATTAAAAATTCGGAATATCATTTAGAAAAGGTAGATGCAAAGGAAAATGCAGTAGTTTCTAACAGAACATAGATGAAATGGTAACAACAAAACATAGAACATAAACTCAAGAGAATTTGAGAACCTTGAAAGTCAAGAAAGAAACAAGAAACAAACCAAAAATAGGAGCATTGAAAGAGGAAAACTTCCAACTATTAAAATTTTGAACACAGTATATCTGTAATTTATAAGACTTAAAAAGTGTGGATTTGATTAGAAAAAAATCCACATGGTTATTAAAAGAACCAAACTTCACCACACCACATTGCGTGATTTACCAAAATGGAAATCAATATTCAACATGAGCACAAGAATACAGGATTGTGGAATTTGGAGGACTAATCTAAGCAATGGTTCAAAAATATTTCAGATAACAATGCTAGAAAGCTTTAAATGTATCAATTTATTGGTAAACTAGAAACTAAAAAGGTCTGCATCTTGCATTTTACATGGCTTTGATTTCTGCAACCCATCAAGCTAAATTAATTTTGTTTAGTCCAATCTTGAGTTGATAACTCAGCACACAAGGCTATTTCACTTGTACTAAGCTTGATTGAGTGATAAAAGCTTTCTATTTAAAGACCAAACAAGAACCAAACATACCAAAATGCTAAAGGCAATTGCATAGAAGAGAAACTGAATGAGAACAGTGAAAAAATGAAAAAAAAAAATATCTGACTCAAAGTAGCTGTTTATACACCGCAAAGTTATCAGCTTCAAATCAACATTTTATTTACTTTAAAGGAAACCAAAAACTTCAGAAAGAATAAAAAGAAACCAACAAAAAAAAAAACAAGTTACAGAGACAGAGATAATGCACATCATAAGAAATCTTCCTCTCAGCTTAAAAGCACACAGAAAAAAAAAAGAATAACAATTATAACGCAGCATCAAGAAACCAACTTTCTTGATCAAGAATCAAGAAAGCAAAGAACTTGGAAAAGGAAAAATGCAGCTTTTGTGAAGAAAATGAAAAAAAAAATTGAAGACTGTAAAAACCCATTTGGGCAGTAAAGAGAGAAGAAGAAAAGGCAATCTTCAGATTCAGATAGAAAAGAAAGAAGGAATGTTCAATGTACCTGAGTATAGTAGTGTTAAAGGGTATATAAGTTGTTGATCCAAAGAGATCACAAGGAGAAGAATAATGTGGACTTAACCATTTGAGCAGAAGCTAAAAAAAAGGAAGACTCTGTTTACAGTACAAAGAAAGAGGAGCAGAAGAACAAGAAGAAGAAGAAGCAGAGGAAGCTGCTGCCTGTTGCAGCTGTGTCCCCATTGGGTTGTTTTTAGTTTCAAGGGAGAAAATGACAAACTTTGCAAGAGTGAGAGAGAACAGATTGGACCACAAATATATAGAGTTAATACTATATACAATTCTGAAAATTTTTATGGAAAAAAGCAGTGTTGGGTACTGAGATTAGTGAGAGTAGTTTATGAAGATTTAGTTAATAACAAATAATGGGTTTGATAAAGGAAGCATGCTAAAGACAAAGATTGTTATGAGTGTGGGGAGGGTTTGTGTTTAACTTTCAAAGGAAGTACTATATAAATGCTAGAGAAAACAAACAAAAGCATACTGATTAAGACTGTTTTGGAAAGGTATTAATCTCTTAATTTAAGTAATTAATTTATTAGTCATTTTAACTTGTTATGTAGTTATTGAATAAATTTAAAGACAAAATCTATGATTTGGTGAATAAATTTTAAATTTTTATAATTAAATGAATAAATTATTGTCTCATCGAGTGAGATAAATAGTTAAAACAAAAATTTGGAAACAAATATTACCACCCACTTAATATTTATAAGTTTCAAACCCTCTTTTTAGCAAATACTTTAATAAAAAGAGATTCATATGCAATTTATGGGGGAAAAAATAAATTAAAAGTTAAATTAGTGAGAGGAAAGCCACATTTGGGTCAAAATAGGAATCATCTCTCACTTTTGTGACTGCTGTGACAAGGAGAGAACTAAGCATGAACTCAAAGAAGTAAAAAGACTCAAAAGGCTGAAAAAAAAAAAGGAAAAAATTAAAAATTAAAAAAGTGGAAGAAGTCTGTTTTTGGCTCAGTTTATTTGTCAGCTTTTGTGGGCTTTTTTTTCCCATAATTTTGCCCTTTTTATTTTTCCCTTTCACTAAATTTCAAGTAAAAAAAAGAAATTAAATTTAATATTTTTTATTACTTATTTATTTAAATAAGTCGTTGAATGGGAGAAGACCGACAAAGGGGGGAAAAGTAGGGCCCAGTGCCTTCTTTCGCTTGATCTGCAATCACGAAGCTTATTATCCGGCGCGTTTTCACCTCCCTAAATTACCGAAAGACCCTCGACTGGTCTCTGAATTTACTACTAGCGGGATCTTTGGACTTCGGAGTGTGGGCTAGGGCTGTCGTTTTGTATACGGTGTGGCCCCCACGGGTATGGTTTGTTTTGGATGTGGGTCAGTTTGCCCCGGCGATATCCGACTGGAGCTCTCTCTCGTATTTTCTCTCTACCAATAATTCTGCCATGCATTTTTTTTCATTATTGATGATATTTTTATATGCAAAATTTTGTCCATGAAATGTCCACTTCAAGCATGTACCCAAACAAAAAATTTTCATTGCATACATTGAGTATTTTTGGTTGCAAAAAATATATGCATATAGTGAAATGGTAGTTTCCAGTAAAATTTATATCTATCTCGTTACTTTTAATCAAAAATATCAATTTTTAATACATCCGATGTGTAAATTTGATGAAATTCAATCGATTTATATTTAATTATAATATAATTAGAGATGTTAATGAATATCTTATAATTGGGTATCTTGCGCCCTCCAACTCTATTAAATATGATTAAAGTATTTTATAATCAAATTTGGATAGGATTTAGATAGTAATATTAGTCCCGAGTTTGGTTAAGAGTCTTAGATAGTAATATTAAATTTTAATTTTATATATATTATGTTTTGTTTACAAATTTTTATAATTAATATAATACTCACTAAAATTCATTAATTGATCTAATTATGTTTTTTTTAATTTTAATTTATTTTTATAAACTAATTTTAATTTATTAATTTAATTCTCATTAATTATACATAAAAATTAATTTTAAATGGATATTTAATGAATACGAATATTTAACAAGTAATGTTTAGGAAATTTGAGTAATAGTTCAAGTAATTACAATTCAAAAATTTATTCAGGTATTTATAAGGTTTGTGTATCTTATCAAACACTAGATTTTGAATTAATAGAGTATTCAAAAAGAAACAAATACCATACCCGTTAATATCCCTAAATCCAATACCCAAAATAGCAAGTTTCCAATCTAATAATGTTTCGTCCTAAGATTAGTTACACTAAATATAGCAAAAAAATAAAGCAAAATAAATGATCCAGTTGCCATATATTAATGTTTCCTTTATGGTGATTTAAGGGAACAATAAATAAATATATATATATATATATATATATCTTTGTGAAATTTAATAGGGTGTGATAAATTTAGTTTGGTTTGGTATCTTTTAGCCCGAAGATTTCATTTGCAACAATGCCATCATTTCATGGTACCTTTATAATATATAAATCATTTATGCCATGGACCAATGGCAGATGAAATACCCGAAGCTTTATTTTTTTGGCAATTAAGGTTTTAGGGTTATATATGGTGACCTTGATCTAGTACTTCAATACTACACTTTTTGACCTAATTATTATTGATGATAAAACACATTTCTTTGTTATTAACAGATTTATTGTAAGGAAGGGGGATCTAGACAAGGTAGTTGAGACATGAGAGAAGCATTCAAGATTTGTTAAAATGCAATTCAACCAAGAAAAGACTTTGTAATAATTAGTTTCAATAATGGATCAAGAATTTCACAGAATTGAAACAGTACTCATACTCCTGGTAGATGAAACAATGGCATAATAATTAATGTCTCTCTGAATATATAGACAGTTTTAAGAAATGATCCGTTTTTATAATTTTTTATAGAAAACAAAAATTCAAACTCAATTTTTTAACGTGTGAATTATTTTTTTTTTATTACTAAAGAAAATAGGAAATGTTGGAAATATATGTAATAGGTTTGGAAATTCAAAAGCTCTTCCAACTCAGAGTTTTTATCTCAATTGTCCTTGATCTTCAGCATATCTGGGACCAAAATCATCATCATCATAAGGAAAACCTAATCTTCATAGGGTTATGAAAAGATGAATTGTCAATGGTCAATTTTTTTGCTGTCACACACACACTGCATATCAGTAGAAAGCAAAGGATGGGCTAGGGCTAGCTTTGCCTCCTTCTATAAGATTCTTATTCTCCATTACCAATCCTATCAGCCTCAGCAACGCATGATGAACTTGAGGCAGATGCTGTCATAAAATGGTCAAAAAAACTTGCATATTCTTGACAGATTCAACTCCCCTTTTTTGCCCATTTTTGTTTTTTCTCTTCTTGCTTTGGCTATTGAATACATACATGCTAAATCCACAATCAATTGGTTATTGAATACATACATGCTAAATCCATAATCAAGGGCTTTAACTTGTGACATTAAGGTCATTGCAAAAAGGATATATATATTTAATGAACTCATAATTTTAGTGAAATTTTAATAAGACCCTTCGTGGTTAGTTATCTATAAAATCATAAATAAATAAATAATTAATAATATATTTTGGTGTTTATATTAATGAAATGAGACCAGATACAGGAGAGCTGCAGGAAACTTATTCTCCTCGTGAAGCTACAACAACCTCTCTAATGAAAATTGGCAAAGAAATGAAGACACATGCACACACACAGAAAACCACCCTTTACTCTTTAAAATAGTTCAAATATCATGAAAAAGTTTGGAAGTTCCAATGGAGTTACTTTAAAAGAAATAATGGCAACATCTTCAACTAGAAAAAGAGGTGAAACAAACCAACTTTTTTTTAATGGAGATGTATCACCCGTGAACTGTGATAAAGAGGTTAACTTTTTCTATGTGAGCACAGTCAATGTGGGTGTGTTATCTCAACTACTTTGGTCATCATAATGTATTGCTCTTTCAAGGCAACCTGAATGGAGCGAAAGGGGATGGAAGAGTTTCAAAGAATAAAATATTGGACAAGTAGCATTCCCTTTAGTATAAGGAACATGGCTTCCTTTTTTCAGCAGGATCATAGCCACATAGGAGGTTGATGGGGAAATTTTTTCTTTAATATTGCTGTCATACATTTCTTATATATGAGATTTTGTCGTTTTTAAGTATAGATAAATATATCTTTTTATGCAAAGAGATGATATTATATAAAAAATAAAATAACAGGTGACTTTATTTTTACGTAAATTTTAATTTTTTTAATATAAATTAATTATATAATTATTAAGATTTATATATACTCCTTTATCTTTTATTTTTTAAAATATTAGAATTGAAAAGGATGGATGAGAGGGAGTTGGGGACATAGATGTACATGAAATGAATTGATCCTTTGTGATGGGGTGACCACTAACATAGGAAAAAGAACAGAGGAAGAAGTCAAAGGGAAAGAGAAGTCAAAATCAGAAGGGTGTAAGTGAAGAGAAAAGGAAGAGAAAAGGGCTTTGTATAATCTTCAAGAAACTTGGTTAGAACTTGGATGTAGTCCCCCATTGTTTGCCATTAGACATGACCAGTCTTAATCATTGCCATAATGATTTCCTCCTTTAGTTTTTCAAATCATCCTTCCCCTACTTATTGTTTTATATATATATAAGGCAAAGGGTAGAGTGGAAGAGTGGTACCCAACAACACAAGAGAAAAGAAAAGGAAGCAAGAAGTGCTAACCACAATAAGAGTTTTCAATGCTTTGACAAAGTTAGCTTTATTAAGTTTTAAAGCTTATTAAGCTTGTTTTTTTAAGGTTGGAATCTTTCTTCCTTTAAATAGAGGAAATTTGTCTCTTATTGGTCATAAACTATGAATCCATCTCTGTTTATATCATTGCAGGCTTAAAAGAAAAATTGTATTAGAATAAAAATGAATTTTGGGGAGAATTATTTGACAAATTAATGTTTTGGGAGGTGGTGGCATCAACTTGTTGTTGCCGACATGAAGGGAAGAGACAGAGAGAAAGATTGAGATTGGGGCACAAGTGGTGGACATGTTGGGCTATGATATGAAGGGAGAATTGGTATTATATGGTTAGAATGTCGGAACCCCAGCAGTAGGAGCTGCTGATGATGGATACCAATTCACATCCTGTAAGACGAGCATTTGTCATTGAAATTTTATCATGAAAATGTGGTAAAATTTAAAGTTGATGGAATTAGAGTGATTTTAGAGAACCCAAATCTGTTTTTTGACCTTTAAAAATGTTCCCAAAGTCTAGATAAATTTGTCTTTTACTACTTCTTATTTGGGTTTGGACTTTGGACATAGTTGAATTTAGGCCTAATTGACAGAGAAACCCATAAATGGAAAAAATGATCTGGGCTGAGTTTGGGAATCAAAATCAATAGGGAAAGTTGAAAAGAGTCCAAAGGCTCAAAAGGACAGGGATGTAGCCCAAACCTAATTGTCCATTCATTGGGTTGACCAATTTCCTTAAGTCAACCCTAAACCTTTGACCCAAAGTTCTCAAACTTAGTCTAATTGCCTCCTCGTGATGCAGCTGAACTTTTTTTTTTCTGATCATAATTCGCCTCCTGGTTACAACTAACCCTATCGAACTCAGTTTTTGAGACTATAATGATCAAATTCCTTATAAGTTTAAGTTAATTTTTTTGATTTTTTCATTATATTGATTGTTATTTTCAAGAAGCACACGTCTAGCATAATGTCATGTTCACGTGGATACAATTTAAATGCATGCTTCCAACAAGAAAGAGACATTGAAAATAGTTCTTAATTTTTGGTCCCCTCTTGGCATAGTTAGTTACCCTTTTGTGAAGCAAAAATCATGCATAAATCCAGAAGAAAAGAAAAAAATAAGGAATAATTATGTTGTTTGGTTTGATCACACTTCCTTTTTGGAAAAAATCAATTTAAAAAGAAAAAAAAAAGAAAAAATCCCCACATAATTGACACAAGTCAAACAGTCCACTAAATCATTTTGAGATTACCAACATGCTAAGAGAGAAAAGAGGAAAACCCCAAGTCAAATTGATGGAAAAAAAGAAAAGATTAATGAAAATCAGATGGGGATCATTACTTTGATCATTTTGACTTTTTTCTTTTCGTGATGATCAAATTATGTCTGAGCCGTCAGATGAGTGGGTCCCAAACCTGATGCACGTGCGCCAACCCATTTTTCCCTTGGCTGCTTATGAAGAGCCTTGGCTATTTCAGTTCAGACCATCACATGTGACGTTGACGTGTCACAATAAAAATCAAATATATATATATTTATAATATAATAGAAATAAAAGACAAAAGAAAATGGCCCCCACACAATTTCTTTTTTTATTTTTATTTTATTAATAAAAATTATCAAAGGGGGTTGTTTGGTTTGAGACGTTCACCGTATTCCTCTAAAAATGCCATTTTTTTCTCTGATCATTTCGGTCATGTGGTGGGTTCCCACAGCCCTTCAGAAACATTATGGCATTGCCCTTTGTGTTGTCGTTGTAGTCTCTCATGGACTAGGAACAAGAAAAACAAAAGAAATTCAAAAAAAAAAAAAAGAGAACCAACTCTTGAGTATATGTTTTCTTCCTCAATGTTCATTTCAAGATTAAAACATAATAAAACATTTTCTCCCCAATGTTTATTTAAGGATTTAGAACAGTCATCGGTCCACATATGGTTAAGATTTCATCTGAAAATTTTACGATGGAGAAAAAACTTTTAATTAAGTGGTGTTTTCTTTCTCTTAAAAATGGTTTAATTAAGCTCACAAATGCTCGACTATTAATCTTTTACTTAACATGTTTTTTAATGTAAACTTATTATTGCGATAAGTTTTTTACGATAATAACAAAATGAACTTGTTACAAGTAAAATTATAATGAAAGTATTGTTTTGTATCAATAGAAAATGACTATTTCACGTTTTTCAATGTAAATTTTTATGTCGAGCTATTTTCAGTCCGACTCTACGAAAGCAGTTTGGGTTTGAAGATGGTATCATAGCTAATTAGTTAGCTATAACTAGTAAACTAGTAATTTTATAAATTGTACTATGTGGTATTTAATTTGGTGAATTAAAATTGGCTGCTCTTTTGTCACCTGCAAATACAAGACTGGAAACAAAAGATGCATGGGTGGAATGTTGTATAACAAATATGAGCAAAATTGACCTTGCAATTATTAAGCATGTGAAATAATCAAAGCTAAGTTAATAGGGTAACCTAAAAAATAAAAGACTGGGTCATAAATCTGCTTTCATTGGCAGCTAGATATTGCACACCTTCATTGACTTTTTATTAATGTTATAACAATAATTATATGGAACTAATTGAGCTTTAATCTTAGCCCATAATTCATTTAATGTTATTTAATGGCATAGGGTTTTTTTTTTTTTTCGTTTGAAGTTTTCCCAATTCATTAGATAAGACCCATTTTTTCTGTTGAAATTAATACAATTCAATTCATCTTTTTCATTATCAAATTATGAATCGGATCGAAATTTTAATTTCTTTTTATCAATATTTTTCAATACGCCATTTAAGTTTAACAAAAATCTGTTTGTAAATTTTCATTCTCGGGCACCAAAAGATCAAAATATTATTATATATAGATATCTCGATGGATATATAATTAAGACAAAAAAAAATAATTAGAGTGGGAAAAGCACTTATGAATATATAGTCAGATATATGATCATGATTCTGAATATCCAGCAGGATGGTGAGGTGCAAAGTATAGCTAGTGTACAAAACCTCATTTTCCTTGGCTGAAAAGATTCCAAAATTTCTTCCTGCATTGTTTTTTTTTATTTGGCAAAGAAACAGTGGAGTGGCCCTGAACATGACTGTCCTCCTCCTCCTCCTCCTCCCCACATATAGCCAACAAAACCTCTCTTGAAATAGAAAAATTAGGAGCATAGAATAGCAATTATAAGCATAGAAAGCAGTCCTGACCTGAAATTAAATCCTCATTTCCCAAATTGTCGGTGCTCACTACAATACAAGTTTATAACATATATATATATATATATATATATATATATATATTCTCCAACAAATTTTATATTAGATTCTCTAAGGGTTGGCAAAAAAATAATAAAATTAAATATCAAACCCAAAAAGTATTATGTCTAATAGTATTAATAATGTTATTAACTATTGTAATACTAGTAGTAACTTAACATACACACAAAAAATGCAATGTGATTTCAGAATTCAAATTCAAAAGCTGGTACTTGAACCATGTTTGTCTCACCTTCAGAAAAATGCACAGTAGAATCCTTAGCTGGTCCCCTTTGAGATGAGTTATCGATACCAGATTCCGGCAGAGCCGCCGAGTGGTTTTCGGGCAAAGCTGGGCTGTTTTCCAGCCCTTCAGAGGGAGCTATAAGTGTTCCTTGATTGTACAAAGTGCTTAATTGATGAAAATAAGGACATGTCCTAGAGTCAAGGGACCTCTTCTTATTAACATCTTTGGTCTTCCTGAAGTACTTGTTTATGTTCTCCCATTTCTCTTTGCACCTCTTGGCACTTCTCTTGTACCCCAACTCTGACATCCCTTGAGAGATTCTTTCCCATAGAGGAGCTTTTATGGCTGCTCCTTCCTTATCGTGATCGCCATTGTTATAGAGACTGCATCTTAGGTTTATTAATGCCAACACTTCATCTCTTGGCCATCTCTTCCCGAGGTCTTCTTTGTCATTGGATGTAGGGGTTAGGGGAGCTTTATTTACTGTCAATGAGGAAGTAGGTGGTGATGGATTGCTTTGAGCGTTGACAGGATTAGGGTTTTTGGGAGCTAGGGCTAGAGCTGATGAAGTGAGTGTTTTTGGATTAGGGTTTTCAGGGGCTTGGCTTTCTGTCACTGAGGTGGCCTTGATTTGATTGTTGTGAGTTGGACAAGAACCAGAGTTTTGATGACCAAGAACCATCGTAGATAAAGTAGAACTAGAAACTTGATCAACTTTGCATTGGGTATTGACTGTAGGATTAGGGTTTTGTGCTGGCACTAGGGAAGATGAAGTAGTGGGAGGATTTGAATCATTTGGTACCTTAACAAGAGCTTCATTACTCCTTCGAAAACATTTAGAGGAGCCAGTTGATGAGAATTTACTCAAGAATTTGATTATGGTAGCCTGTCTATCACTTGCAATAGCTTGTTCTTTTGCCCTAAGCTCTAGCTCCTGGTTAATCCTATCTAGCTCTTGTTTCTTCCAAGCTTCTTCTCTTGCAACTTTCTCTTCATCTCTCTTCACCATGTCTTCAAGCAGTTTATTGTGCATCTCTTCCTGTTGAGTCATCAACTTGTTCACAATATCTTCACAAAACCCTTTGATCATCTCAAATTTGTTCTGTCTTTTCCTCTTCCTGTTGCTGCCGTTCTTGTTATCTGTTTTGTTCTCAACCACTTTTTCATTATCCTCTGGTGCATTATTTCCTGCTGTAGTTTGATATTCATCAATATTTCTTGAATTATCTTCCAAATTCTGACCCATATTGTCTTCATCTTCCCTTGACTTTTCCACGTTTTTGTTTTTTTCAGCTGCGCCACCAACCTGCTGGTTATGATGAGGAGGAGGAGGATTCTCACCTTGACAAAGCTCTTCAAGTTCACTAAAGAGCCTGTAGTTTTTGCTACAATTGATGCTGTTGAAATATCTGCTTTCTTCTTCAAATTTCTCTTTGCACTTCTCTGCACTCCTCT